TATATATATATATATATATATATATATATATATATATATATATATATATATATATATATATATATATAATATACGTGATATCATATCTGTAATCGTGATTCAACTTAAAAACGCTAAACTCAAATTTGTATATCCTATCTGAGAGAAGTTTCAAGTAATGACTATGAAATTTCTGTTACACATTGTTAATTTAATTAACTTTTGTATTATGTACATATTATAGATTCATCTTATTTGATTAAACACTAGAACTTCCTTAATATAACTAAATGCGTCGATGTGCGACATTTAAATCTATAATCGCGACATGCAACAGAAAAATTCTCATCTAACTCTGAATATTAAAGTCTAAGTATCTCACTTCAGAGGAGTTTCAAGTAGTAACTCTCAACATAGACCTCAAAGATATCCAGAAGACGTTCTTCTTTAGACGTCTTTAAGAAATTTATGCTGTCTGGAAAGAAACAGCACGCACATATTATTTACAAGAAGAAATAAGAAACAGAAAAAAGGAGACGTTTTGGTGTGCCTCGGTTATATCAGTGTCCTGACTCTTTAGGATCTTTCTCGCGAAACGCAACTCAAAGAATGGCACTTCGATTTTGCGGATTGTTAGATAGAATATGTTATTTACAGCGACTTTTATCCTGCAACCCACATATTTACATTCTTATGACCGGCGTATGTCGGTTTTAATGCAACGTTCTGCTCGATATATTCGAAGAAACGTCTGTTTTGGATGCACACGTGTACATGTCATCTTGCGTTTTTTTCCTTGTATATGTGTGGCACTAAAAACTTTTGAAAACTTTCTGTTACCCTTCCTTTATTTTCCCTACTTATTTATTTCGTCAATTCGTCGGTTTGCAAGCACTCCGTGCCAATACGTAATAATGCACGAATAAATTTTTTCTCTTTTTTACGATAACAAGCTCATATGAGAATAAGCATTAATACCACATGCATGAGTCTTAATTCCAGATAGAATTAATATCGATAAGTATGCGTCTGATGGCTCAAAATGTCCGGATTTGTACAGATTTCACGTTGAGTCTATCTTGAAGTCGTGATACTCGTTTCTGTCAAATCAAAAGCGCGTTTTACTCTTTCTCAAGAGTAATCTAACATCATATTACGCAAAGGAAATGTCACTATTTGTTTGATATATTATATTTTGCACAGTTAGATGCAGTAAAAATTCACGCACGTTTGTCACGTGTGTTTCTATACTGAAATCTGTATATACCTGGTCATTTCTTAGGTTGGAGTTGCTAAAATTTTTCTATCAGGCGCGTCCCTTTCTAGACATGAATTATTATGACTATTGATTAACTGAGAAAGTGGCAACGATGTTAACGCACCAATGACACATTGACAGCTTGACGTTTTGTTTGAGAGTTAACCGCTCATATGTTACACATAATTAGTAAATAAAAGTATAATAAAATTTAGAAAAAATATTAGAAAATTTAGAAAAAATATTTTAAGAAATTAGACATTGACATATGAACAATTTTTAAAATGTCCAAGTAACACTATAAGTAGAAGAAAGAGTAAGAATAAGAAAAACAAATCATTAAAATATATAAAATTAATATAAATAATTAATTAGAGAATATATATATACATTCATATATATATATGTATTTATATATATTTATCTATAAATACTATTATTAATATATAAATAACATTTATTAATATATAAATATTAATATAAATAAATAAATAAATATATATATATATATATGTGTATTTATATATATATTTATCTATAAATATTATTATTAATATATAAATAACATATATTAACATATAAATATTAATATAAATATATATATATATATACTTTGTAATTATTATGCAATTAATTAGATAAAATCACTTTAATTTAATTTATTTTTATTATGATTTATATTATTTATAGGGCGCAAATGAAATATCAAGCTGAGAAACGTCACAGCTGTTTTGAAACATTGTTACCGCAATCTCAAATAAACAACAGTCGCATATTTAAAAACGGATGCGCCTGGTCGAAAAATTGTAATAACTCTCGATTCAGAAAATGGTCACAGAATTTTGGTGCACATACATCTGTAAAACACACATTGATCGCGTATATTGTTAACAATTAATCATTTCGCGGAAATAAATCGGCATTGCTGTAGTATGCGTGGTTCTTTTTTCGCGCGTATATCTCCACAACTAATTATCGAAATATACCATCCCCGACATTACGCGTGTGAACATTCGTTATTATTGTCATCTTGAAAATTATCGGCATCGCGTTTCCATGACGTTTTAAACACGCCCGTTGTCTCTGAGTCCTATTCTCCGTAAGGGATACGCCCTTAGGGTTAAATTACAGAATATTGCTTACGACAGATTATCTCATAATGTCCTATGCTTTTTTCTCTTTGTTACCGCTTGTTTATCCCGTATTTCTGTATAACTAGAACTAATAATATTCGTTACACAATGACGATTCTTTTGGACCCGTAACAAGCAATCTAAAAAGGGAGGAAACGTGATACTTTACATACTTGTCTCCTCCGTGTTTTAATGAATTTTATCAAATCGCGCAAAGAGAGAGAGATGCAAAATATTTAGTATTTTAATTTCTTAGAGATTAATTTACAAAATCACAGATCGGTCGTAAAGTCGCTCAATTCTCGATCAACCCTCCTGAAAATTAAAATGAGCAGACATGAGGAAAGAAACGAATGGAGATCAACGCAAGAGTAATGAAAAGCTAAACCTTGGTATTTTTGAAGATTGAGAATTCACGATTGCGCGTGAGTACAAATTCCTACAAGCTCCTCTTTAATTTAGTTGCTCCTCTGCAGGATGTTGACGAGAACTGTAATCTACTTCGAAAGCAATTTTATTTATCAAGGGTACTCGACGTACGCAAATTCATTGATGACTCGGGAATTGATTATGGAAGCTTGTTCACTGACGGCTGAATCAAGCACTTCGGCGTTTAACGAAAAACGAAGATCCACGAGAAACATTATTGTCTGGAAAGTAAAATTCTACGCGATGTACATGCGAATCCTTTATTTTTCATTTAGTCGTCCGTTAGTCTACGTTAAATTCGTGTGCAGTGTGCGCAACTCTCTTTAAAAGCTATTAAATTCAATTGCTTACGTCCGCTTAAGACATAAATCCGCGAAACAAACGAGCATCTCCTAAAGAAGCGTAAGTCTCCTGTTAACAACAATATCGAACGTTGCGCCGCGAACAATTGAATATGTTCCATTAACAGTAACATATTTTATAATGTCTACAACGACATTATCTAGACATTTTAATAAAGTCGTCGAAACCGGACGTTCGGTCGCCTCGCGAAGAGAACGGAACGCCCATGTTTACATCTCCGGGACAATCCGTTCTGGAATCATCATCCGACATTATTATACACTCAATTTAGCAGTATCCCAGAGAATCGGCTTCCGATTCCGGGCCTTTGTCGGTTACTTCGAAAGGAGGACGATGCGCCGCCACGTGAATGACGAGAGGTCGCGTAATGATGCATAATGACAATGAACATGGATCCAAGAGTGACACGCAGACGGGAAGGTAGTCCCCCAGTGTGTTCGTGCTGTTCTCGACACGCCGTTCCAATTTTACCGCTGCGTCTATCTTTTTTGCTCTTTTTCGGTAGGAATTGCCTCTAGTCCGCTGACTCTATCTTTTTTGCTCTTTCTCGCCAGGAATCGTCTTTAGTCCGCCTCTCTACGGTCGTGGTTGTGTGGGCGCATGACAACGTCGTGGTAACGAAGATATCGATGCTCGTTTCACACGGTGACACGAAGTAGGGGAAGCCGCAAAGCAACTGGATATATACATATATACATATAGATATATGTATGTATATTTCTTTTTCTATCTTCCTGTTCTGTATGTCCTGCGACTGTGATCATCTCCGTACTTCGAATGGCACAGTTGGACGCTCCCATTCTGTAAAAATATTGCAATTTTCTGGCTGGCTAGATAACTGATGAAGCTCTGCTTAAAAGATTTCATAGAATTACATAAGTAAAATCTATGTAAATCATATTTTGGTAAAAAATAGTAGAGCTACATAGAAAGACAATGTGTATATTTAGATAGATATTTAATCGTTAAAAATATGTTTCTTTTTATAATATAAAACGTTTCTTTTACAATATAAAACGAAAAAAATAACTTTTTTATACTGAAATGTAAGAAACTGTAATTTTCGATAGAAATGATAAGTTTAAAGAAAATCATATAGTTTTATATGTTTCACATTATGTCATTAATTTACAAAAATTATTAGATGTATATGTTTCTTGAACTGTAGTTGAATAATTTATTTCACTGTCACTCTCGGTGTCTCAAAACAAAAAGAAGAGAAAAAATCAAAATTAAAAAATTATATTAATTATAATGCGAAATTTGTTGATCAGTTTATTTTTAATTTTACGGACTAATTTGTTAAAAAGAATGTAATGTCGCAAGTAATACCAAGAAAAGAGAATAGCTAATATTAAAACTTAAAACGCACATCATGTTCGTATACTTCTTACTTAAGTGAAATATTTGAAAGTCACAACATTAATGATTTCTTCGAACGCTTTAAATACGCTCATGGAATATCGACAGTGAACGAGAGAAGTTTCAATTTCGATTATCTATTAAAGCGGATAGTTAATTGTAGACAAACTGGCGTAATGTTATGAAAAAAAATACTATTGGTGACTTACCAATAAGTTTAGTATGGAGACGGCCACTGAAATTTGTAGCGTCTTGAAGTGTTTCAATTTTCATTGAGTTTACCGATGTCCTTCTCACCCCAAATTGTTAAAAAATTGATACTCTCTATCATTCCCATCGTAGGATAAATATTCATCGCTGAAATACTCTTCAGTGATATTAGAGAGAGTTTTTGTGCTGAAAAATATCAAAATTTGCAATTTAATTTCGTTATTACAAGCAAACGGATACAGATTAGGTTAGTAGACGTATAAAAGTTAGATTTTTTAAATTACCTTGTCACACAATAGATCGGATAGCTCTTGAACTTTCGCTAATCTTGTTTCTAATGTTTCCGTTGCTTTCGTCCATTTCTTCTTTTTGACTTTGCTTTTTCTTTTGTTATTATGTATTCCGATATAGTCCTCACGAATTTCTTAAACGGAAGCATGTGGAACATTGCACTGCAAGTCATCGATATTAAAGCAATTACAAACACGTTACTTGTCCAATAACAATATCAATTTATCATTAACGTAAAAAAATCGTTACATAAAAAAACCGTTATGTTATTATTATCACAACAGAAAATTGTATTCTCTGTTTAGCTTTATATATGTTTACTCTATTTTTATTGTATCACGAGTAGCATAAATGTACACTCATATTTCAAATGCGAGGAAATAACGAAATGCAAAAATGGAAAGAATGTACTTGAGAATTAAATTAAGGGACACACCTTGTCTTGGTTATTTCTTGAGAAGTACAACAGATAACGTTCGTGACGTGATGCAATTTGCTATTTAAGGTCTCACAACTGTCGCATTCTTCCGAAGTATTACTTTCACTTTTTATGTCATTCATTGCGACCTGATAAAAAAAAGTAGAACACATTTAAAACTATACGATGTATCGCTCTGCTTCGGCAATTAGTTATAAATCAGGAAACAAATTATTATTATGTAGATTTTATCGTGAGCCGACTCATTAAAGTTCGTTAAATCTAAAAACACGATTCTAAGTCAAGATTTGCGTACAATGTAAAGATTCATTTTAAACTCACGTTATTTTTAAGCAGATCGTAATCTCCTTTTTGTTTTTGATTGCGTCTGAGTGCTGGTTCTATGAAGTTTGCCTGTTCGATGTTGAAATATAGCAATATTTTGTTGTTCATATTTATTAAGTGATTTCGTTTATTTTCCTTTTGGTACGTAGCAATCACGTCTTCGATATCATTTTCGGATTGCATGAGTTTGTTCAACATTTCCTTATACAGCTCGAACTTCACCTCCGTTGCCTTAATCAATGCCTCATTATATAAATTTTCACTTTTCATTTTCCACAAATTATTATTTACCATAATCGATTTCAGATCTTTGTTGTTCATTTGGTCATCCTTAGAATGTTGTGCCTCCGCTTCATCATTTATTTTTTTTTTATCTTCCTTCTTCTGTTCATCACTCAACTCTTCTTTTTGTTGTTTTTTTTCCTCAACAGGATATTCCCTTTCTTCTGTGTTAGGATATTTCCTTTGTTCTGAATCAAGTGTGCTCGTATACTTGTCGGTCATGATGATTTTACATTCATTTTCATGCTTTTCCATCGATTTCTCGCATTCGTTTCGTACAGTTTGTACTTCGGTTCTGCGCTTGATCACGTTTTCACTTAAAGCAGTTATTTGGTCTTGAATGTATTTGTCTGACTTCTCAGTTAGTTTGGCATATTGGTTTTCTAGTATCGTCACCCGATCATTTCGTTCATTCAATATCACCTTAGGTGATATTGTGGATTCCTTCAAATGTTTAAAGAAAGTGTCCTCAAGGCTTACTAACTGTTCCTGTAGAATTGTTAACATCCGAATATTTTCAGTCGTCGAATTATTATAACACGAAACGAAGAGGAGGATTTGCACTTCATTTATGTAATTTTGAATACAAATTTCCAGTTTATTTAGGGTTGTTTGTAACTCTGTATCGTTAATTTTGTCTGTTAGGCAGGTGAGTAATTTTCTTATCGAAATTAAGTACGTGCTTTTTAAGTTTTGTATCCTGAGTCGATTTAACCAATATCTGACAGGAACTTTAACATTCACTATATTTTGCAACAAACAACATAAAAGATTATCCCACTCTTTCAGGTCATGTTTGTTCTTGTCCTTCAGAATTTTCTGCGTGGAATTTTCTGTATGATCTTTCATATTTTTCTCGATGTCTTTCAAGGTTTCTATTTCCAGCTCCAGCTCGAGAATTTGTCGAGTTATCGAGTCCAGATAAAATATAAAGTTGAAGTCATCGATGTCTCCGATAAGCTCGCAGTTTTCATCCATTTTTTCGTAGCAGAACAATTCTGATCTCAACGTATCAATGCGTTGATTCTTCTCCTTTAGCTGCATCAACCAGTTGGCATTGTCTTTATTATTCGATATGCTCCACAAAGATTTCTCGTATACTCTCAGTTTCTCCTTATAAAATTTTATATTTTTCTTCAATGTGGTAAAACTTGTTTTCTTCTTTTCATATATCTCAGCCGCAAACTTATGGTAGTATTCCAACCAGTCAGTATACAACATCGTGTCTCTTGTTATCTTTTTCACGTCATGTGTTTCAAGCTCTAATGTTTCTAATAAGTGTTTCATCGACTCATCTATATTATCTGCTGTTATAATATTGCTTATATATTCCTCCGGTGTAATGTGCTCCATTGCGGCAGACATTAAACGATTTGGCAGTTTGATTTTAAACTTGCGACCTCTCGACTTTGCGCGATACTTTGATGTATTCTCTCAGAATTCTCTTTGACGATTCTGTAGGTTTCCTGCCAATTTATATCACGCGGCCTCTCTTTGTCCCCAATATTTCAAGATTCGTTTTTGCCGGGATTAGCGTCCAGTATACGTGCCAAAGTGATATTGAGAAAGTATGAAACCAGCTGATTGGCCAAGTACACGTGGAATGGCGGTAACGAAAATAAACATAGAAGCGCCAGATAGCCAAAGACATGTGAGCGTATGTATGTACGTGTGTGTTTTTAGACATGTGTCAAGTTACGTAACGGTGCGTCTTCAAGTGTCTGCGAGACTAATCGCGGTAACGCAGTTATCCTGGTTTGTTCTGGATCGAAATTTGTCCGTTGAATTATATCTCCTTTCTCTCTCTCTCTCTCTCTCTCTCTCTCTCTCTCTCTCTCTCTCTCTCTCTGTGTGTTCCTCGTGCCTTTCTCTTTTTCCTCGTGTGTTCACCGTCTATTTATTCTACTTTTTTCTTTCTATTTTATTTTCTACTTTCCCTCGCTCACCCTTTCACACACTCTCACTCTCGCACTCACACGCTATTCTCGCTTGCCGTTTCCCTCTCTTGCCCTTTCTCTCGTGTTAAACTCATCTTTGTATTTATATTTACGTGTGTGCATACATATATACATCTACATACGTATATCTTCGCGGCCGTGTAAGTAATAATATGTATTTACAGTGAATGCGCGCGCGTGTATTAGTAGTATCCTTTGTGTGTATACATGTGTATAGGCGTATGTATACATATATATGTATGTATATGGCATGTGTGTGTGTGTGTGTATGCGTGTGCGCGCGTATACACATACACACGCATATACATACATACTTCGATTTCCCCGACAATAATAATAATTACCGTTATTGTTGCCGTAGTTGTCGTACTTTATCTCTCCCATCGCCGTTATTATTTATATATTTATACTTTATTCTCTTTATATTTATATCTCTGTATATTTATATTTATTTTCAATATTTATATCCTTCAATATATATATATAATATTAATAATAACAATTAATTATTATTAATATTATTAATTATTATGTGTATATATATACGTGTATGTATATATATATATATATATGTACGAAGTTATTGTTATTATTATTGTTATCTTCGCGCTATAATTATTATATATGTTAACAATGGTCGCAGCGTTACGTAAAATAATTATATGTCTTGACGTAGGTTTTGTCCATTGACGGATCGGTATCGATCCTTTGTTTAAGTCCATCGCTTTTAACATGCGAATTGTACTAAAACGAACAGAGAAGGCGTCCCCAACGAAAATCGACTTTAGAACAAGCTTTTGAGGAATCCGGCGGGTCCCGCCTGCTCGTCGTTCGAAGGCACAACGTTTTTTCGTCACATCGTTCGTTGTCAGTGTTGAAAAGTTGCGTAAGGATATGTATAGAAAATCAGCACGGCAATACATAGAGCATGCGTGAATATCGCGTATACGTGTATATCCCAGGGAGGCAGCGTGGAAAATTTCAGAAGACAAATAATTAGTAAATAGAACAAGAATACCCCAGATAGTACAGAAGTCTTGAGATTATCCTGGATGACTCTGAACGTCTTAGGGCTCATTCCCCCGGACATTCTAGATATATTCAGGATGATTCTGGGACATTTTGTACTGTCAGGGATGATAATCAAAGAGTAAGGGGTGATAACCAAAGTATTTGCATGATCCTTCATCTTGTTTTATACGATCTTACACAATGAAAAGGACGAATTCTTTCCGATAGAAGCGCTTTTCAATATATTCCTCTTCTGCAAGTTTGGTAAGAGACGCGCAAATACTTTCTTTATCCGTTGCATACTAAAGAATACTATGTATACAAGAAGCGTATAAAATTTGTTCTTATTAACGCGTGTGATACGAGAGTTGGTACTGTAAAATATACTGACCTCTTGCTGTGCAGTTGTAGCTTGTTTCAACTTGGCTTGTGCGGTTTTGAGTGCTCTGAAACGGAGAAATAACGAACATTAGTTTCATCCTTAGCACTGTCAGATAGCATTACTAGATCAATGAGCTATTGTTCTCTCGGGCAATGTCAGATCAGCAAGAGAACATCCCGCCGCGACGTCGTCGCATTCGAGGTGATACTCACTCCTGAAGATCTCTGATCTGTTTCTCCTTGGAGTTCTGCTCCTCCTGAGTCATCTGCACGAGTTTCAGCAACCTCTCGGTCTCGGCGGCGCTCCTGCCCGATTCTTCTTTCGCTTTCTCCAACTCCTTCTCGGCAACATCGAGCGCCCTTTGCATTTCTGCGAGCCTCTTGTCGGGCGCTCCGCCACTCTGCGCACGTATATTAGATCGTTAAATCAAATTGAAAGGGAAATATTTGCACGGAAAAATTCGTTGAAGAGACATTTCTCGAGAAGAAATAATTAAAAAATATATGTTAATATAATATTACTACAACTGAGATATAAATATATACTGAAATATATTATTGATATTATATGTTTAAAACATTTATAAATACATATAATCGTGCACGAAAAAAGAAATTAAATTAATTCATATATATACTTTTAAAAATATACAATTATTCCTAAATTATAACTTAGAAATATTGCAATATAAAATATTATACATTTAATATGATAAAATTTCAAATAAAGAATAAAACGATTCTAAAAAACAGATAAATAAAAAATACACAAATACAAAGTTTATTTAAATATTTATGCGCTGTTTATACAAAACTTTCTTTCTCTCTTTTTCTTTAAATAGTAAATATTTAACTTATTTAATAATTTAAATTAAAATGTTCGTCTGAAAATCCTGCGAATATTACAAAAAATACTGCATTATATCGTGAAAAATATTAGGGATTGTGATTTTGTTTTCAAATATTAAAATAATTGTGCAATGATATCTCAAATAAATATTCTGAATTAGATTTGTGTCTAGTTTTTAAGAAATATCATTTTGAAATTATAGTCTCAAATTCGAAATTGGTACTGTCTGAAATGAAGAAGCGCAATAATCACCTTTTGCAACTGTTGCTCCAACTGGTCCATTCGCGCTTTTCTCTTCTTCAGGTCTTGGTCGAGATTTTGAAGCGTCCTCTCCCTCTCCTCTATTGTCCTAGCTTTCTGTTCGACGGACTTCGCCCGATCGTCCGTCTGCCTTCTCTGTTCGTCCAGCTGTCGACGTTGCTCCTCCAGTTGTTTCCGCTCCTGTGTAGTATCGGCGCCAGCCTTGGCGGCTCCAGCTTGTAGTTTCTTGTTGGCTTCGTGCAAGTCCACCTGCATTTAGGAAGAAATCGCTGTAGCGTATACCCTGCTCTTTTCATCGCGCTCACGCATTTTGTGTCCTCCCCTTTCTTTTTTTTCCCTCTTTTTTTCTCTACTCCCTTTTCCCTTTTCTTTTTGTTCTGAATTAGACGAAAATCAACTGCGAGACAAAGATAGAAAGAGAAGCTGATGTGTGCCGTAAGAGCTATGAGATGACCATTCCAAAGATGCAAAACCGACGACCGTCTCTACTTGCGCTTTGGCATCGTGTGCTGTGCTAGACCTCGTTTGCGTGTGAGTCTCAATCTCCAAAGTGCAATTAGATTCGCAAGGACGCCCCTCAGTTCTCCTCTAGTTTCGCTACTAACAAACTACTCGATGTCTTTCAGACGTGAGACGCGTCTTGAGTTGTCGGGAAGGTGCTTAGCGTATGTCTCGCGACGCACATTTTTCCTCGGAGGAGCCGAGAGTTGCGCCTTGCCGGTTGGCTGGTCGACGTGACAAAATCATGAATGCATGAACACGTGAATTATAATAATAACGATAACGATAATAATAATAATAAAACGAATTGAGAACGTGACATCACACAGACACTCCTCCATATCTAATGATTACAGCGAGATGTATATACATACATAGAGAGACGTATCGTGATCAAAACGTGGCGAATATAAGACAACGTATTTATCTACAATGAGGTATATATATATATATATATAATAGTAATATATACATGAGCAAACGCGCGAGGTGTGCACCAATCAGAGAGAGGAGAATACCGTTCACAGATCTCTTTGATTCCTCGACACGCTAACGTGTCGCCGTAGTTTTGCGTAGAAAATGCGGGACAGTTGCACAAATTAAAAACAGAAACGGAAGTATCGTGCTCGGAACCGCGACGGTGAAGCGGTATTTCTTCGTCTCATCGATGCAGCGCATGCTTTCCAACATAAACGTATTCACGATTTTGCTTCTTGCTGCAATGATTAATGCGCGACATAAGCGCAACGGTAACACACAATAATATGAGTAAATATAGTAATAATAATCGCAGAAGAGCGAGCGCAAGAATCTCAACGCATTCGCTCCTCACGGCGCATTCTTTTTTGCCGCGCGCGCACTTGCGCTCGCTCTTCTCATCGTAACAATAATAATCACAATGCCGATGGGCAACCAAAAGTACAATGGCAGTAATGTGATGACGATAATAATAATAATATAATAATAATAATAATAACAACAATAAGAATATTATAATGTAAGCCAACAACAATAATGATAACGATAATAATAATAGCGACATTAAACCAGCATAAAGATTCTCCGTGAGGAGAGAAATGAACGGCAATAATAATAATAAAAGTAACAATAATTGTACACAATAACGGAGACAAAGTGATAATTATAATAATCATAACGATGAAAACTTCGAACATATTTCGATAGCAATGAGCGAATGGCGGTGCTAGGAGATATCGCCAGGCTCGGGACAGGACGAGGGCTTGGGTTCTCGTTGGATCAAGGATCGGTGATCCTTATGCCTGACTTGCGAAAGAACGTTGCGTGGTGCTGCGACATCGCTGCGCGCGTATACAAAGTACGTAAGACGAGAGAAAGAGAGATGTGCGCGCAGTGGGGTGCAGCGTGTCCGGGGGTTTGTTTTGGCAACATACAAGTCACGCATACTTTACATCGTTTGTCGTATTTTTGTTTTTCTCTTTTTTTTTTTTTGTTCTTTTTGGCGGCGTGTGTGAGAGTCTGTCTCCTCGCGCTGCGAAGAAGAAGAAGAGAAGAAGAAGGAGGAGATGGAGGAAGAAGAAGAAGAAAAGAACAAGAAGCGAGATTCGCGCAGACCTCCAACCGCCAGTTACTTTTTCATTTCCTTTTGACCAACGATGATCGACTCGATCGAATGTTCTATCTTTAACAGAGTGCGGCTAGAGAGTGCGCGGGACAGTGATGGTGGTGATGGTGGTGATGGTGATGGTGTGGGCGAGTGTGGAAGTGGACGTCAGCAGCGCGAGCGAGGCGCGGCGTGACGTGACGTCGTCGCTGACGACGCTGCTCCCGTTGCCGCCGTCGTCGCCGTCACCGCTGGCGGCTGCTAACCTGATTTTTCTCGAGTTCCTGGCACAGCATCTCGAGCTGCGCCTGGAACCGCTCGCGCTCCACGGTCGCCTGCTTAATCTCCTCGCGCGCACGTTCCAGGTCCTTTCTCAGCCTGCCGACCTCCTGACCGTTCTGCGTGGGCTGCTGCTGCTGCTGCTGCTGTATGGTAAGCTGCATCTGCTGGATCTGCTGCTGCTGGGCGTGCAGCTGCCGTTCGGTCGCCTGTATCCGCTTCTGCAGCTCGCCGGTCTCGCGCTCAGCCGTGTCGGCGCGTTGTCGTTCCGTCTCGCAGAGCTTCCGCCACTGCTCGAGCTGCGCTTCGGATGCGGTATCGGCGCCGCGCGACGCCAGCTGCTTCTGCAGCTCCTGCAGTCGCTTCTCCGCCTGCTCGGCGCGCTGCCGCTCCTTCTGCTGCGTTTGCTGCAGACTCTGCACCTGCTGGCTGAGCCGCTGCACCTCGCGCATCTGAGCGTCGAGCGCCTCCTTGGCGACGCGGTCGGGTGTCTGCGCGTGTGCCCGCTGCTGAAGCCTGCGGACCTCCTCGCGCTGACGCTCGAGCTCGGCCTCGTTCGCGCTCAGCTCCTGCTGGAAGTTCACCAGCATCTCCTGCGACTTCTCCAGCTGGATCACCAGCTGGTCGCGCTCAACCTGCAGCTGCTTCGCGTCCGCCTCCAGCTTCTCCTTCATCTTCTCGAGTTTCTCCGAGTGCTTCTCCCGGTTCTCCAAGATCGCTGCCATCTTGTCGCGCTCGCGCTGCGCCACCTGCAGCTCGTACTGCATCCTCGCGAGCTCCTCGCCGCCCGCGATCTGTTGCTGCTGCTGTTGCTGCTGCTGCTGCTGCTGCGTGCGGCGTAGCTCTTGGCGCAGCGCGTCGCGCTCCTCGCGCAGGATCTGCACATCCGCGGCGAGACGCTCGAGCTCCTTCTTCGTGGCGTCCGCGGCCTCCTGATACTTGGCGGTCTGCAGGTGCGCCTTCTCGAGCTCCTTCGCCAGCCTACCGGCCTCGAGTTCTACCTGATCGCGCGCCACGATCGCCTTGTCCAGGCTGGCGCGCAAACGCTCCACCTCGATGCTCGCGCTCTCTGACCTGGTCTTACCCTCGGTCTGCATCAGCCGCTCCAGCCGCACGATCTCGACGCGCAGCTTCTCGTTATCGGCCTCGAGGGCCTCCGCCCGCGTCTTCACCTTGTCGTGCCGGTCCCGGATCTTCTCCGCCTCGATTCTCGCGCGCTCGATCTCCGAGCGATTGCGCTCCTGCGCCGCGGTCGCCTTGCCGGTCTCCTCGCGCGCCCGCTCGAGCTGAAGCTGCGCCTCGTGCAGCTTCGCCTCGAGCTCGGCGTGGCTCGACTGCGTCCTCTTCAGCTCGGACTCGCGGCCGTCGAGCCGCTCGCGAAGTTTCTCCACCTCCTGCTGTAGCCTACTACCCTCGCTCTGCCACTTCTCCTGCTCGTACTGGTATTTACCTCGCACGCCCTCCGCACGCTCCAGATCGGCGCGCAGCCTCGAGGCGTCCTGCTCGGCCTTCCGCGCGCGCTCAAGCTCTGCCAGGGCCTTCTCCAGACGGTCGCGTAGCCGCTCCACCTCCAGCTTCGCCCACTCGTGCTCCTCCTTCTGCCGCTCCTGGCTCTCCTGATACTTGCCAAAGCGGGTCGCGTACCTCTCGACTTCCTCGCGCGAGCTCTCCGCCTCGGTGCGCAGCCTCTCCGCCTCCGCCTGTGCCTTCCTCACCTCGGCCTGCTGACGGTCGTGCTTCTCGTACATCTTCTCGATCTCCAGCTGCATCCTGGCGAGCTCCTCCTGCGTCTTCTCGGTCGCCGCCTGCGCCTTGTTCAGCTGCGAGTGCGCGCGCTCCAGCTCGAAGCTGATGCGCTCGTTGTCGGCTACCAGCTTCTCGCGCTCGTTCTGCAGACGGCGCAGCTCGATCTGCGACTTCTCGTAACGCTCACGCACCATCTCGAGGTCGACGCTAAGCCGGTCGATGCTCTCCTTAGATTTCTCCTCGTGTTCCTTGGTGCGGCCGAGCTGCAGCGCCGCGCGGTCGTACATCTCCTGGACGCGCGCTAGCTCCTCCTGGGCCTTCCGCGATTCTTCGCGCGACTTGGCTGCTAGCATCTGCTGCTTCTCTGCCTCCAGCTCGAGTCGGTCTTTGTCCGCTTCCATCACGTCGATGCGGTTTTGCAGACGGTACACCTCGCTTTGCGCCCTGTCACATTACCGATAGACATTTAGCAAGAGACCCGCAACTTTTCTTTCTATACCTATTTAAATATCTTACATCTGCAGATACTGTGTTGGTCACACGCGCTAGGATTGAGATTATTTAGAATATTTTATTGTCGAATGTGATTTGACATTTCCTACATCAAGCATCTTGAAATATTCTAACGGGAAAATGTCGAGTCACAATTATATAATAAAATAAATATAGAATAGCAGTTATTTCTGTAAATTTTATTCCAGAAATTGCGACTATACTAGCCTGTTATTTTACAGAAAAGCGATTCTTTTAAAAACATCAAAAAAAAAAAACTTTGATTTAAAAAATTATTTAAGAAATTGGTTATGATAACCACGAATTAACTCACATAGTTCTTTTTTAAGAGTTTTGCTGAATGATAAATATAATTAATTAGCATATCTGGTTTTAATAAAAGTCCCTAAATGTCATTGTGGCAGTCAATGTATTTGAGTCTTTCCGATGTAGGCGCGTCTGGTTGATATTACCTATCGTATTTTTCCAGCATCTTCTCGAATTCCTTGGTGGTGTTCTCCCGTTCCTCGTGGGCCTTGTTCATAGTATACTGAGCCTTCTCTAGTTTCTCCTTCAGGATTTGGATTTCAGTCAGAGCGTCATCCCGCTCGAGCTGTTTCGCCGCGATCCCGAGAAAACGAGAACACGTATAGCTATATATATATTTCACACATTTATATTCAATATTTTCTTTCTTTCAGAATAACTGTTCTTTTAGTATTAACCTTTTTTATAATTTATATAATATTTCTACGATATTATGGTATAGTTACAATTTTATCCTCGCTACTGAAGCTCACGTTGCAAATGCAAGCGTGGTCTAATTAATTTTGTCTAGATTAATTGAAGATCGATAGCGGAAAGGCAATAACACACATATGCACATACATATGCACATGTATCGCGGACGCTCTACCACGAGAAATGAAATCTCCTCACCGTCAATTTTTGATGAGTGTTGTGCGCTTTCTCCCATCTCTCCTTCACCAGCTCGAGTTCCGACAGCACGTTCTCCTTATCGCGTTGAAGCTTGCCTATCTGATTCTGCTGGAATTCCAGCCTCTCGTGCATCTTCTCCATTTCCTCCTGGAAGCTGTCCCGCTCCTTCTGCAGCCGTTGCATTATGACCTAGAGTGACAAGTCGAGTCATTAGCAGCAGTCAAATTGCATCTAGGTCTTAATATGATCAACTACACTAACCTGCGCTTTCTCGTACTTGTCTTGTAATCGATCGACCTCGAGCTGAATCGTTTCGCGTTCCTTCTGCATCCTCGTCGACTGTCCTAACGCCTTGTCGAGTTGGCTCTGCAGATTCTCGAAGTCGTAGTTCTGCTTCTCCCTCTCCATTTGCATCTGCAATGATTGATGCATCGTTAACTGCATGTTAAATGAATAATATACATGGTTTTGTGTATGTGTGTTTCTTGTAAGTTTAATTTTGCAAAGAAACCGATACTCTAGTTGCTCTCATGAATCAGTGTAAGAAGAAAAAAAATGAGGCAGATGGATGAAAGCTGAATTATGTTATTTTCAAAATAGGTGATTCGTATTAGAAGTGAAAGATATGTAATTGCGTTTTGAGTGGAAGAATTGCGTAATTTTTGTATTTCATGAAAGAAAGCTCTTGCAAAATTAGGTGTCAATAGAAAAATTTGGTACCTTTTCTCAAAGGTACTCACTCTACGAACTTCGGTCTGCGTCTTATCGAGCTTTTCCTGCAGCTTATCCACTTCGCTCTGCGTCTTATCCAATAGATTCTGCAATTTGTCCTGCTGAAGTTGCGCTTTGCCGAGGGTGGCCTGTGTGCGCTCGAGCTCCTCCTGCGACTTCTCGAGCTCGCCGATCGCCTTGTCCCTCTCAGAGTGGAGACGAGCCACGGAAGCCTGTGCTCGATCGTACTCTTCCCGCAGGCTCTCCTGTTCGGTTTGAGCATTCTCGAGTCTGGCTTTGAGCCTGTAAACTTCGCCTTGACTCTTCTCCACCTTGAATAAAAAGAAGAAAAGTTATTTTAATATATCTCATTGATCGCTTGACAAAATATGAAGCAGCTTAAAAACCCTGAAAGAGAGAAGGAATTTATACATATTATCGTAATATGGCATCCACTATTTTCTTAGTAGTTATAATAATCGATCGGGAAAAAGTTCTAGATGTAAATAATCAGCTTTTAAATGGTAATAAGATGCAATAATAAAAATTTTGAAAAAATTTTTTTGTAAAATATTATTTTCAACTTTTTAAATAGAGCCACATATTTTTTTTATTCATTTTGTAAAAAAAAAGAAAAATAAATTCAATAGTAATTAATATATAATAAATTAATATAATATAATAAATTCAACTTTATAATTTATTTTTACTAACATTTAGTAGTGAAAATACAGACAGAAGATACGATAATACAATGTAATGAATAATATTAGATGCTCACAGGACATGTTTGAAATGTAATTCATTTTCAGCAACACAAAGCTCCACCCTTTGTAATAGAGTTTTATATGTCGCATCCATCAGATATATTAATTTATAATTTTGTTATCTTTATTGCTATGCCATAGCAAAAAAAGCATAATAATAATAAAAGCACAATAAGCACAGTAATGAAGAATTTCAATAACGTATAACGTCAACAAGCATATAGAATTATAAATTAATATATCTGATTGATGCGACATACAAAACCGCACGAGAAAATGCTGTTAAATGAAAGAAGAAAAATATTATCAGTTTTCAGTTTAATGTCGAAATCACAGGACGCCATAAACATAAGCAGTTACTTAAACTATATTTAGATGTATGTAATTATATATAATTGTATGATTATATATAGCTACACACATTGAGGGGAAACTATGTAAAATATAAAAAAAATATTTATTTAGTGTGGGTACTATAATAATATATTATTCTAATGTGCATACTTTCACATTGAAATTTTTTTTGAAATGAGAAAATATACATTTCCCTAGAACTGCATCTTTTCATGAAAGTAATTGTTCATTATTTTTAAATAAAAAAATTTATATGTAAGTAAACATTATGTTGTGTAATAAATAAACTGGATTGTTATTTTCAAAATAAAAAAGTAATTTATATAGAAATGAAAGACATTATAATAGAAGATATACAATAGAAAATATATAAAAGAAGGTATATAAAATAGAATAAAGATACATAATATGAAACAAATTTTGTTTTTGTGTTTTTTGAAAGAAAGCTTTTGCGAAAATATTGGATTTTTCAAGTAAAATGAAACAATTATATTTTCATGTACTCATTATTTTATAAAACAACATATGCGAAAGATGACACGAGATCAAAACGATACATATATTGTTTCACAAAATTATGACAACATAAAAATACGATCGTTTCATTTTACCAGAAAAGTCTGAAATTACTTATTATACAACCTAATATGTCATTAGTACTCAGCGCGCGCGCACACAAACAAATATTTTTTTACTTTTTAGATATTTCTTTTCTCACAGTGTAGATACAAAATTCGCATATAATGATATATAAATCATTTTTCCTCTCGGGTCGCTCTGTTTCATCTATCACGGACTCGAATGGAAGCTTGACTGATGCGTACTTGCAGCATTACTTCTCCACCCCGACGTCTAATTACAGGTGGATGGGACGCACAAGATGAGGAGCGCAGCGCGACGTTGAGAAACGCGCGGGTAGCGAAAGTTAATGCGATTCGCCGCGCTACGACGATGTTCGCGTTACTATCGGGCCCACTCGTCGATTCCCTTTATTCCCCGTCGTTAACTCGCGTCTTCGCGCGCAAGAATCGCGCGGCAAACCCGGCGCAAATGCGAACTTAAGCACACCGTTTAGCTGTGTTCCTCGGTGTATATGGTAATGCGCGCGAGCAATTTTCCAGTCACTTAGGCGGCGGGATCGTTACTACCGTCGCCGGTTGTAGCGGTGACCGTGGAAGCGAAGGCCGTGTAGGACGAAGGGATGATTGGAAATTGGATCCTATTGCACCACCGGCAACCACGTAGATGGCACGTAGCGAGAAGAGGAACTGGACGATGAAGGAGAGATGCTGTGAAGAAGGAGGAGGAGGAGGAGGTGCAGTATGACGAGGAGGGAGGGGGGAAAGAGAGCGGCGGAAGAACGAGATCGAACTCAAGTTCCAGATAGTTGTCGAGCGCGCGTGTGAATCGATTGCGATTAAAAGCGATTGTTCGCGAGGACGCGTCTCCGAGCAATTCGAGCCGATCCTTGGAAAGTGCTCGTCGAAATGGAACTGCCGAGTCGCCCGAAACGGACCTCCGGTCGTCCATTAATAGACCACGAGTGGCGACGTGTATACGGGTCGTGTGCTCCGGCAAAGTAGTTCAGGTTACTTCTGCGCCGATCAATCGATAGTGCGCTAATTGACGTATAAATAGCGCTCCCACGAGGGATGCCGAAGAAAACGCGGGTATTTTGAGCCGTCGCGAGATCGAAATATTATTCTTTGGGCACGCGCTGCGCATCCCTTCGCCCTCGCGATTTAGGACGCCGGCTATTTCCATGGGCCTTTAAATAACGAGTTGCGATGCAATGGGTTCTTTCTTTTTTTTTTTTTTTGAGGAAACTCAAAAGACTTGTTGAGACGCGGTACAAGATATAGTCTTGTATGATGAAGGAGGCACATTTAGTAAAGTGTTGCCAGTCAAGGTTGGCGCCTTCCGTGAACCGAAAGCATCACGGAAACGCGTTGTTCGTTTCCTGAATCGCTGTTTGGATTTGTTCAACAATAATAGCGACTCACATATCTCTTGCAACTCTGCATCACCTTTTATATTAGGACTTTTTGTATAAGTAATCACAAGTAATCCAAGATTCACAAGTAACTCGATATTTGTCTCTGATGTGAGACTCTTTTTGTTTTTAAAATCTAAACTTGTATTCCTCTATTATCATCAGTTAACTTTGGTTCATTATTTATACAACTTTTATTCTTACTAGTTTCTATTTGAGCTTAATATTATATGTATGTTTTCTTAGCGTGTGTTATATTTGTGGGCAAGATATTCAACTTATTATATCATCGAATAAATAGAAAAATTTAGTCTATAGACTTTTAAGTGTGTTTCATTTTGAAATACTTGATTATTTATGAGTACTTTCAATGAACTTTATGGTGCGACAAAAAGGAAAGCGAAGAAAGAGATCCTCTCTTCAGTGTTGTTGATTTCCTGGATCATACTAGGTGCACCCATAAGTAATAAGATAATTATAAGATTCTTACTCTTATTAGAAGTTTTTACCTCTGAACTTTATAATATATAAATAATATTTTCTTAGTGTGCGCTATTTGTAAAATATTTAACTTATTGTATCTCATCGATTAAAAAATAAACTTCTGCTTACACGGAGAGGATTTTATAGCAAACATTACTATAGAATATCCTTTTGCTTCATATATGCCACTTACATTTTAGAAACTTAAATATGCTGTTAAAAAACTTGGCATATTCCTAGAAAAATTGGTTATATTTCTTAGCAAGATAAGCCTTCCTCACACTATTTCCTTGTACTACTCGAAACAATAAAATAAAAAAAAGAACAAATTTATGTAAAGCAAAACTATAACATTTTCTTCGTGTATAGATTTTGATATGCATCCCGAAATATTTTATTATTTATGGATACCTCCAATATATATTTGTCGCATATGTGCGACGAGGAAGAAAAAGACGCACCTTCTCCTGAAGGGACGCGGCCTCAGCGCGCGCCCTTTCGTTGTCTGCTTGTGTGACCCTCAGCTCGGCCTGGGCTCTCCTCAGGTCGGCAGCCGCTTTCTCAGCTCGCTCTTGGATTCGCTCCATCTCTTGGGACGAGTTTAGGGTGCTTCTTCCGTACGTAGACGACCTTTCGATGTCGTGTCTCAGCCTCTCGTTCTCCAGCTCCAGTCTGGTCAGACGCTGTTTCGCGGCCTCCCAATCGGCGCCGCTGCGCCCGACCTCGGACGCGGCCTTGTCCAGCTCGGCCTTGCTCTTGCCGAGCTCGGACTGCGAGCTCTCGAGCTTCGCCTCCAATCGGTCCTTCTCCGCCTGCGCTCGCTCCAAACGTGCGCCCAGTTTCTCAACCTGTCAATTGATAAATTGACAAATATTCGTGAGAATATGTCAGATAATAATATGCCGAAGTAAAAATAATAAAGGGGGAAGAATTTGAGCTCTTTAAGTCCATATTAGCCGCTTTCCCTCCTCCTCCCTCAATTATTGATTGCATATCTCGGCAAAGAGCTTTGTTCCATTTTTATTACGGAAAAGAAATGAAGTAAGAAAATATCGTGCCATCATCGTTTCATATATTGACCCCTTTCAGACGAATCTTGATATCAACATCATGCAGTAAAGAGTGCGGCTAAGTGCTTATAGGCTAATGTGGCCTACTTTATTCAGCAAAAAGTTTTAAATCCAGGTTGATCTTATCTTATAATTTTTGGCGCGTTGATTACGAATATGCAAAGTGGACCAACGTTCCAGAGACGTTACATAGAAATTTTTTTGCATTCATTTCACCCTTACGTAAAAAAACTATAAGAAAAAACTGCTGAGAACAATATAGGAAAACTATTGAAACACTATTGAAAATATTGGAATACTACTGTGTATTTATTACAACACTATTGGAAAACCATAGAAAATTTATTCGTTAATTTTATAAATTTTATAAAGTTTTAGTATAAGTTTTCAATAGTTGAAACAGTAGTCGTTAATCGACGAAAATACTACTGTTCTCAGCAGTTTCCTTATAATATTTCTTCGTAAGGGCATGCTTGACTTTAATAGGCCCCATTTTATTTCACCCCATGCTCGGCTCTTACAGGCCTTATTTTTTAAATCATAGAGCCTCTTTCAACATCCTTTTTTAGAAAAAAAAAGTTTCGCTTATTCTGCCGTGGACTCACCTCGGACTCTAAGGCGTGTATCTTCATTTTGTACTCGGCGAGCTCCCGCTCGTGCAATTCCCTCTCCTCCTGCTTCTCCTGCTCGGCTCGGTCCCGTTGCTCGCGTAATTGTGCCATTTGCTTCTCTTTATCCCCGATCGCCTCCTCGAGGCTGCTAAGTGCACCCTCGCTGCTGCAGTGATGCGCCTGCATCGCCGTCAGCCTGGCCCTGGCCATGTCGACCTGATTGTCCTTCTCCTTCAGCAGATCCTCCAGATTCTCGATCTGAAGTCAACAGCGGCCTCGGCCGTAAGAGCAGAGAGCGCGGGGATCGCTGGTGCTTTCGTAAGGTCGTTTCGTTAGTACAAACGGCAATGCTAATCCGGTCGCGTCCGTAAAAGCGATACCGTCGCGGGCCGGAGTCGAGAGGCTTTAATCTCTCTTCTGGTCCCGTAATTCCCCGAAGTCTCGAAGTTCTAGAAACCCGCCTCGAAAATCGCTTTAATTACAGCGAGGATCAATCTCCGACGTCCGCGGAAAACGTTGTGCCCCGCGCGGGCCGCGCTAATTATAGCGTGTCTATATTATTCGCGACGCGCGCGCGCGCGTCGCTTAATTAAGCGTTAAATTTTTACATAACACGCGTGTATTTATACGACACCCCGCCCCCCTCGTTCCCTTCCGCTCCGACCAGCCGCGGAAGATGAATTAGCGAGGTGAGATTAGCGAAGGATCACGCGCGATAACTACATTTAGGAAATGAGACTCGGAACGATTTTCACGCGAATCGTAAATCTCGCGCGGCTCTGCCTGGTTAGTCCTCTCCCCCCCCCCCCCCCCCCCC